GAGCTCAACAATTATAAAGCGAGAGATTCCTCGAAACGCAACTTTTCTTCGCACATGTTAAGAATTCATACTTTACGAAATAGAGCAAATTTATACTAACCCCAAAGAACAGGTGACACCAATCGACGGCTGGTCAAGAGGAATCCGCTGGTGTTCGTCTTCTGGTGGGATCCACATTTGAATTTGTGCACCAAACACTTTCCTTCGAAATGGAAACAAATTCAACAACTATGAAACAAGATATTCCTCGAAATCCATCATTTTTTCGCTTTTACACCTCTTCGTCTACACATTAACAATGTCGGCGATTTTCGAACAATTTTCGCAAATTTGAGGCACTACCTAAAGACTTTCGAGCCAAACGACGCGAGAGAACGTCTGGACGTCTGTTCGAAGCGGTATTGGAGACGAAATAAGCAAAAGTAGACCGTAATATGAGATATATTCACCCAATTTCGTTTAAGATGATGAAGGACTGGTAGAAGAAGAATTTTTTCACGATGATATGAGTTGACCTGACGTTTCCATTCAATTTCACATTGCCCTGCTTTCACAAAAGTTATTTTCATCCAACCAGAAGTGGACTGCAATTTCGAATCAACACCCCCAGTGGGATTCGAACCATGACAATGCAGAATGGGAGCTTGACACGTTAACCACCCGACCACATTGACACGAGTGCCCTTGGCTCACAGAGCAGATGTGAATTTCAAGGAAGGCCAGCACTTTTTAGCAAAATCATATTATTTTGGTGGAATTGCCGATGAAGCAAATGTATATCTGCTACCACAATCGACTACTATACTTTATTTTTCGAATTAAGTATTGTTTTCGTGACTCATATCATTATGGGAAAATTCTTCTTCTACCAATCCTTCATCACCTCAAACGAAATTGGGTGAATGCATCTCATATTACTGATTTACTGGTAGTCTCGAAAAAAAAAGTTGTTCACCCAGGATGAGAACAACTTTTTGGAAAGCAAGGCAATGTGAAATCGAATGGAAACGTCAGCTCTACTCATATGATTGTGGGAAAATTCTACTATCTGTACTTCATCACCTCAAACGAAATAGGGCCATTACCTTTCATACTAGCGATTTACTGGTAGTCGGGATAAAGGTTCACTTTCGGCAAACATTTTGATCGTAAAAAAGTCTTCATACCCATCTTTGATTATTGTATCACTTCTCTTGGTGACAACTCTCTCTCTCTCTCTCTCTCTCTCTGATAGATTTACGATGTTTTATAAACTTTCTTGCCACTCTTTGAGATTCTGGTTGGTAACATCATCGCACACTAATTCTATTCACTCTATTACGTTTAAGATGACTATTTTTCATTATAATTCCACAATTGCTTTACCCAAATCCGTGTTGATCTGGTACGTGGTCAGATCCACGTGAGTACGAGATTGTGTCAAATGCATATGCCATTCGGTGCCGAGTCACTACAGAAGATCCGACCAAAGATTTCCAGCCTCACTCTGGTAGAATTGAGGTGAGCTTGTCGAATGGATGCATTAGAAAGCCGTTTGGTTGACCCATTCTCCATTCATGCTCGATATTTTCAGAGCAACCTACTTCTATGGCCATACAGTTTTATTCCAATCGTCTGTGGTTGAGAGACTCACACCAACACCTAGCTTTAGGCTCAACGACCACATTTGGAAGACGGTCAGATGGCCCACTTTGCACTTTGCCCATCTCTAAACCAACATTCTTTATTTGCCGTCTGTTGGGTTTTTTGGTATCATTTGGAAAAAGTCTAAATTCCAGCCGATCGTAAGGCTGGGCAGTAATCACACTACCGAATTCACTCCCGATCATCAACCATATAAACACGAATTGAGTAATGACAAATGAACTATTTAAGTTTGTATATTTTGTCGGTTGCATTATGAACTTATTCTCGTTTTCGACAGAACGCTTGTCGAGTGATTGACTTGACTTGTTTCTTTCACGAGTTCGTGTCTGGGCGCGGAGAATGGCAAAACTGACTGATGCTGCCGACTACGATGCCGGCGAAATGTTTGAGAATGTGCCAAGTCGACTGTCTGATGCTGGGAATCATGACAACTACGATGACAGACGACTTCGGACTAGATGCGTTCTACTAAGTCGCCCTGACAACAAGACAAAATTGCCACAATAAAGTCACGATTATAAGCTTTCAACGGAAACCGAATGTCTACTGAAGTGATTTTGAGAAAATTCAACTACCACAGCCCTTATCAACTTAAACGAAACCGAGGCAACACATTTCGTGTATGAGATTGAAATATCTTGCCATGAGTAAGTCTAAGTGAAATAAAACGGAAATTTGAGACCTTGTCATGACATCATGGGAAGATTTAACTAACATTCTCTTGTCATCTTAAACGTAATAGAGTGAATAGAATTAGTTTGCGATGATCTTACCAACCAGAATAAAAATGCCTTCGAGATATGTCTCAAAGAGCAGCGGAAAAGTTTGTAAAGCATCGTAGAGCTATCAGAGAGAGAGAGAGAGAGAGAGAGAGAGAGAGAAAGAGAGTTGTCACGAAGCGAAGTGATACAATAATCAAAGATGGGTATGAAGACTAGTTTATGATCAAAAAGTATGCCGAAAGTGAACCTTTATCCCATACAAGTTGGTTATTGCAACGATTGTGAAATACACCAAGTTTGTTAAAGTTATACAAGTTCACTTGAGTGGATTAAGAACTGATATTTGTTTTTTTCCCAATGCACACTTCGCCCTGCCTCGCCTGCGTGTTATAGCCCCTCAGAAACGGGACTCGAACTCGGGTTCTTTAGCCGGCGAGGTGGTGATGAGACGAATCTGCGTCGCGGTGGCGACTGCATGTGACTGCAGGCCTTGATGAAAAGGATCTGGCTCGACAGGTTGCCACGACATGACAACATGTCGACTGTGAGTGTGTTTTTTCCATTTCCTGCGCCACACATCTTCTCTTTCGCTTCCACCGGACTGGCCCAATTGAAGACCCACAAACGACGCAGTACCAAACTTGCGGCTCGGCTTTGCGTCGTCCGACTTAAACGGCATTGGAGCGCCAGTCTCGACGGTTCGTTGAAGTGCCTCTCGACGCTGAACAACCAGCTTGACTGGATTTTATAGCTTACCTCTCGAAGCCTTGACTTTTTTGCCTTTTAGCTTTTTTTGGCTTTTTGGCTTTTTCACTTTTTCAGACTTTAGCGCTGCCGTTACGAGACAGACGCTTGAAAAAAGTATGATCGCGAAAAGTTATGCTTTATCAAATCAACCCAGGCTAAGCTTAATCATATGGAATTTGCCATCTTTTCTGCTGATGTGGACGAGAGGCAACTGAAGTTTTGTGCAGCACTGCCGTCCGACCATCGACACATGTGGTTCCACACACACACACACATATCCACATACAGTATCTACAGCTTTCCCTTCAAGGCGTCAAAAATACTCGGGTGTGGTCATGCAATGAAGTAAAGAAATTGTGTCTAGCAAGCATAAGGATGTGTGTATGGGTGTGTGTGTGTGAGA